GTCCAGGCGTACAGGTCCTGAAACAGGTCGCTTTCCTGGTACTCTCCACCAAACTGCCTCTTCAAAACCACACACACACGCGCGCGCGCATATGCATATGTATATATACGTATGGGACGATCCGTGTCAACCAGATAACTTGCGTGGGAAGAATTAGAAACACCACAAAAATAAGTGCGATGGCTAATTTTGAAGCTTGAGGCAAAGGCCATCAAATGTAGTTTGGTGATTATGAAAAATCAACACGGTGGATTTAAAATGACGGCAGTAGTCTCCTAGTTGGCAGTTGCGTATATAACAATGTTGATGCTAGTGACGCAAATTAGGAGATATCAGAAAAAAAATCAGGTAGAGTAGTGAAACAAAATTATTAAGTGTTGCTAATCATTATTCTACGGTCAAAACTTGGAATTCAAGATTGCTGATCCAATATGGCGGCTTTATACCATTAATTCGGTACCTCGTTATGGGCACGGTCAATCTTGGTAATAATAGAATCTCGCCATCTTAGATTTACTCTACAGCATATTTGTAATCAGCAACCTGAGTCATGAAAACATCTGAGTAACTGTTTATACCAAGACTGACCATGCCTATAACGAGATACCGAATTAATGTTATAAAGCCGCCATATTGGATCGGCCATCTTGAACTCCGAATTTTTGACCGTAGATTAATGATTAGCAACACTTAATAATCCTGTTCCATTTTTCTATCCGATTTTTTTTCTCCCTTTCTCTCTCTCTCTCTCTCACATGGATACACGCACATGCACCTCTCTCTCTTTTTGTCTGTATCCTCTACTCTGGACTGGTGTCCAGGTGTCTCAACTGGCGCTTACGAGCCCTAACAAGACTCAAATAATAGGAGGAAAAGACGCTACCTATCACTCTCACGACTATCCGGTGGATATCGAGGGTCTGCTGGTTCTCAAGCTGTCTGATAGTCCTTGCGCTGTTGGCTGTCCATCAGGCCTTTCTCTTTCTCTCTCTTCCTTTCGTCCTGAACCTTTTCCTCTCTGGATCGCCGTTGACCCTGGGTGTGGACACAGCAGCTACATCTTTTCCTCTCTTGGTCATCCTGGCTTTTCTCTCTCGCTCTCTCTCAATCCTCTCGTGGCCTCCCCAAAAAAGGACGCGTACCTGAAGGAAGTGAGAATGGCCTCACACGCGTTTTCTTTTTCGCATCTCAACACTAAGCTCTTTTTCTCTCAGCACACTTAACAACAAAAAGCTCTCTATCTCCACTCACAATGGCTTTTGACTCAAAACTAACCTTATTTTTTTCGCAATCACAGCGCCTAACTCTGCGGCCCTTCCCCTCTCTCTCTCATAACTGAGGGCAACCGAAAAGAGTTGCACGTGCGTCTACTCAGTTTTCCTTTCGCTGTTACTGCTGTGTCCAGCGTCGCATTGTCCTTTTTTCTTTATATTCCAGGGAGCCAAAACAAAAAACAATTTCGGTAGGGTAAGCCCTTGCCTCAGTGACGCTATATACGTTGCGTCAGCCAGAGCAGTGCGAGCCTGGAGGCCATTTTTGCCTCGTTACAAATGGCATTCAGATTGAAAGGCATCAAACCAACTATATCAAAACCACTAACGAAAAAGATACTTTCGACACTACAATTATTAAAAACTGATTAGAGGATTGGAGCAGACTTGTCTTTCGTGATATGAGAATCTTTATTTTTCCTTTTCCACAACTTCACAGCTTATTTCCAACATAACTTGAAAGGGTGGAAAAAAACAATATCTTATGGCTGATCAATGTGGGTCACATTTTGATACAGAGCCACAATTTCAATTTGATTCTCTCTGCAAAACTTTATCAGAGAAAGTGTGGTATGTAAGGAATAACCATTCATGTAAACAACAACTGGCCTCTCGATATTTTCTTTTTTTAGCCAAGTATTAAAGACATTGGTCATGTACTCAAAAAAGGTTGTAGTGCATATCCACTTAGTTTCTGATATCTCCATCCCCCATCCAGCTAGACAGCTTTCAACTACTCATTTGGAAATATCGCCTTTGTATGTGTATGAAATCAAAGGGGGGGGGGCGTACCCTGTCAGCATTATACATGTACAGCACTGTAATACTCTCTTTTTCAGAAGCATCTGAGATCATGTAGACTGAGTGAGTCTACATGATCTCAGATCCCTTTTTTAGCAAGAACCTTATCTGGTTTCAGGCAGAGTTGAATATTTGTGTCGTCATAGTTGAAAACTCTCAAGAGATGCAAGTAGTCTAAGCTTTTTTTCTCTAAAGAATTTGGTGACTATAGTGAACCAACCCCTAAAATTTTCTTTAGAGACTTGAGCCCTTGCAATAATCGTAGTTTGAGCAGTTAAGACTTGTAGTAGGATTTTTCTTTTTAAAATAACGTAGCCAGTGCTATTCAGATCCACCATTGGAAAATGAATTTTTTTTTCCTTGGTTCGAAGTATACATCTGCACCGAGTAATTCTGTGCTTGTTACAGAACAGCCTGTTTCAGCTCTCTGGATAAACTAAACTTACAAACATCATTCTCCTCTGTTGTCGATAAAGCTGTCTTTAGTCCAGATTTCACAGCAGAATCACTATGATTTTTTACTTTTCTCCCTAAAGTTGCTTGAGGAAAGAAAATACTTTCGCAGCTTGTCTTACAGAAAGCGTATTATCCTAGATAGCTCATACTCCTTCCTTGACAACCTTATTGCTATATTGTTTTCTTTAAATAACTACCTTTTTCTTTTTTGGCACAGCAGTAACTTAGTGATTTCTTCATTGCCTTTGATAACCACTTTTTTATTTATTAGGTTTTTTTTTTTAAATTGTCAGTTTTTTTTATCATCTGACTCTTTTTCTTGCTTTGTTGGTTACATTATTTTTAGTATAATAGAATCAGCTTGAAATCCATTGAAATTTCGGAAAATTAATGGTAGATTAAAAAATTATTTTTGCTAGTTTTTTATATATATAACAAATATTACTGCTTTCAAATACATAAAAAGTTCAGCAAAGGCCCAAAAAAAATGGTAAAAGTGGCCAAAACAGGTTTTTTGCGCCTAAAAAAAAAAACTAAAAATCGTACAAAAAAAAGTCGAACACAAAAAAGTTGCACGATTCCAAGACGAAAAGAATAAGCCGCGTTGAGCTTCAATCAGTTTAGCCTTTTCTTAAAAATTGGAATTTTTGATAATTCAATTACTCGCGTTCTAATAAATATTTAGAGCTCAAATTTAGACATAAGGTAGGTATTATAGCCCTCAACATACATACTAAATTTCAGCAAGATCGGTTGTGAACTTTTCGCAAACTGCTAAGAAAAGTAAAAAAAAGTCCTTTCCTAAAATATGACCATAAAAAGGTTTTGGCGCAACGTTGCTTCATTTTTCAAAAACGCTCTTGTTCGTCAAGAGTTTATCTACAAGATCGGCTCACCTAAACGGCTCATTCAGGTTATTGGTCGTCACCCCACTACCCAGGCAAGTGCGTCGAGCGTGAAGGACCGCTTTTTTACTATTTATGTTCAACATACTTGCTCAACGTTAAATGAAGCGGAATTTGGAGATCTTATCGATGAACTCTGGACAAACAAGAGCGTTTTTGAAAAATGAAGCTACGTTGCACCAAAACTTTTTCATAGCCATTTTACGTAAGGACCCTTTTTAGTTTTCTTAGTAGTTCGAAAAAAGTTTACAATCAATCTTGCTGAAATTTGGTGTGTATGTTAAGGGTTATGATACCTATCTTATGTTTGAATTCGAGCTCTAAATATTCATTAGAAGGTGAGTAATTTTTAAAAATAGTCAAAAATGACAGTTTATGCTATTTTCGAGAAAATGGTTTAACTAATTGGAGCTCAACGTGGCTTATTCTTTTTGTCTTAGAATCACGCAACTTTTTGTACTTGACTTTTTTTTGTATGATTTTTAGTTTTTTTTTTCTAGAAGCAAAAAACCTGCTGTAGCCACTTTTAATACTGTTTTCAAGGCCTTTGCTAAAATTTTTAGGTGTTTAGAAATAGTGCAATTTGTTATAAATACAAAAACTAGCGATAACAATTTTTTCATGCTACTATTAACTTCCTGATCCAAAAAACTACCTCTATCATACAATTGAAGCAATCTATTACTTCGCAACTAAACAAAATACGAACAAAATGAGGTGGTCCACAAATTTTCGTGCTAACTTAGTTGCTGACTCATATTAGAGGAAACGCGAATTAACATTAGGTACCTAATTATGGCACACTTGTATTAGTGCACCATAAACAGTTGACTTTCTACAAAAGTGGAAGCTATCATTATACACCTTTTTTTTAATGTTACAAATGATTCAGATTGCATTTCAATAAAATAATTGTACTTACGGTAAATTATTTTTAATAATTTTTGTCCTAATAGTTAATTTTTTTGGCAAATAATATTATTTTTTTTAAAGTCAACAAAAGCTCAAGTTCGATAAATTTTGCACGAGTTTTGATTGGGTGGGTGACAGCTATTATATGATAAATTTTTTTTACTTGTTAATTGCAAACATACCTGATTTTCATGTTGTTTTAAAGTAGTCTATGAAAACAAAACAAATGAATATTTTCATCTACGAATGATACGTTTTTATATGTTTTAAAAACCTTTTACACATTTAAAATAATGTGATTCGTTCGAATCATGTTTTGTAAAAGACAGCCTAATGATTGTACAGTTTGTGTTTACAAATAAAGTTACCGTAGAACTATGTTTTTAATTGTTTTATACAGAATACATCTTATCAGGCTTATTTAAACACAACTTTTACATAAGAGACTAACTAAAAGTGTGAGTTAGTAAAGCGTTAGGCACGGTATCTTCGATGAATAAATTGAATAGACTTAACAATAATTAAATAGTTATCAGCAATTTTTATAAAAAATTTTTCAGTTTTTTATTTACTATAGGCGAGTACTAGTATGCAAAAAACATTGACGATACAAAAAAAAATTTTATGAAACTTATTTTTTTGAATAAAAACTCACCTGAAAATGAAGTATAACAGTCCAAATAAGGCCTAGAGTGAGCTTAGGATTGCCATCAACAATATCTTCTGCCTGAATGTTAACAAGTTTGATGTTTTTACATTGTAGAAAACGCAATGCTATCCTAACATTATCCAGCATATGAAAGCGCATACTTCCTGATGTTTCTCTTGGCTGTAAATAAATTTTCTGTTAAATTCCTATTGGCTTGACATAATATATTATTAAATATTATTGCATATCGTTGGAAGTAAAATAAATTTTCATACAACAAAACTCTTAATCTGAAATTTCTCTTGGTATAAATTAATGGTTAATGTTCACATTAGCAAAAGAAAGTTATTACATCTGTTTAAAGTAGAAAGGTTCTTATTAAATACAAAATTACGACATTCAGCTATTTAAATAAGGATTCTTAGGAGAACCTAAAGATAAGTTTGCTAATTGAAAATCTTAAGTATCATGTAAAAAATAATATAACACTCATGAACGATATACCTTTCTTCTTCTGCGAATACAACTCTTCTAAAAATCCACTTGGTTTAAGACACTTGTCGTGGTAATATTATTTTACAATAGTTAATTTATGACAGTAAATATTGAAATATATCACACAAGAGAAGCAGAGTTGACTCAGTAATAAGCATGCTTGTTACTAATACAACATTATTTTAGGGGTCGTAGGTTCGATTTCCGGTAAGTGCACGTATTTTCAAAAACTGTTATCACCGGAAAAAATTCCATGCAACCCCAGCTGTTTCGGGGCGGATTTTTCCGTGGAATTTTCCTTCAGAGTAATTCCAGAGTTTTTTCCTTGACCCACAGGTCCTCAATCCTAGGTAAATGCGAAACAGTGTTGGGGCTACGGGCAGGGGATTGCCGGCCGTACCAGTGTGGAGTGGTCCGTAAAAATAAGGGGCTCCTCCAGGAACGCTAATTATCCTTGATTCGATGCTCTGGTAAAAAGCGCCGGCTTAACCAGCAAGGAGTGGAAGTCCTAAAATACGGAGTCTTTTCCAGGGAAAGGCTACTCAGTGACAAGTTAACCCGATGCACCATTGGTTTATATAGTGCCAGCTTAACTGGCACGGTGTTTTACCGGAGATACCCCACTGTGCCCATGGTCTAACTTACGTACGATATCAAGGATTGGTAAAATGGGTGCGGCAATACATCTCCACGCAAAGGAGGTGAGTAGGTGGGCCAAGCAACTGAGCCAATAGGCTGTTGCAGTAACCCGGAATAAATAAATGCTTATCTAAAAACAATCTTAAAAAAAGTTAAAAGATTTCTACGGATCATAAGATTCGCAGTTTTACGCGATTTTTCTATAAGCTTTTCTGTTAATTGTTATTTTTTTAAATTTAACATATAATAAAGGGTACACTTAAATAATCTGCATTTCTTTTTTATTTTTTTTTTTTCATGCGATCTTGAATATACGTTTTATGTTTAAATAGTATTTTTTTTAAAACCGATGCATGATAAACGTCCCAAAGGGACCTTCAGTAGCATGTAATGCTATCCTTTTGAAAAAAGCAGTACTACAGGCTTGTTTTTGTTTTTTTTTCAACTTTTTGGATACGAATATATTTCGAGTATAATATATGGACAAGACATAAGTTTGTGAGCGAATATGACAGATATAAGCATGGCGTTAGAGATCTAATCAGCGCAGGCAGTAGTAAGTTATTTTAAAATTATCGAAAGAGTTAATTCGAGCGTAAAGTCTGATACTAGCCAGCCTACATATTTTTTCCATTGTACTATACCGTAAAATATTATTTGTAATAGTTTATTCATGAAATACTATAATATCTATTGAAATCAAAACCAAATAACATAAGTATATTTATTGCAACAATAATTGCACTACCTTCGTACACAATATTGTTTTATCTCACTAATATATAAAGAAAAGTCGCAAAAACCGTTGTAATCGCTAACCGCGAAAACTACTCAACCACTCTTGCAAAAATTTGCATACTGATTCTTGAATCTTTCCAAATGGTTTTGGAATGGTTTTTATCTTAAAATAAAATTGATAGCAATAGCAATAAATAAGCTAAAAAATTTGTAAAAATATGGTGGCCTTCTACTTTAGTTGAGCTGAATCCGCTAGGTCAAGTAGAAGTAAATTCGAAGCTACCTGTAATAAAATTAAGAAAGTCTGGTTAATATGTTAATATGCCCAAGCAAGTTACCAAATATCACAGTCGTTCACCAGAAGTGCATGAAGCATCCCAGGTATCCCAGCTACTGACGATACTGTTATCTAATGGACAAGTGACTTATATCAAGCTCAATCCCGGATCACTAGGATCAACGAGCGTCACCAATAAATAGACGTTCTGATCACCAACATCTTTGGCGTAATATCAGGAGACGTCTAGATAAAGCCCAATCTGCTCGAGAAATTTGGAATTTAATGGCCGTTAATTGAATCGATCTAGTGCCACCAGAGTAGATTGTGGTACATCAACAAGCCAAGAAAAAGAATCCTTGAGGAGTTCGGGCAGCCACAACAGTCTCTTCCTAAAGTCCTCAGTGGTTCGTCCCAACGGCATACCCATACACGAGGTATCCTCCATGCCCACTTTCCCGACTAACAATAAGCGATTGGTTATCAGGGAAATGACCCAAAGACAAGATATTCTTCTGTCTTCATACACTCTAAGGGTAAGAGTCAAGCTATCAGAAGTCAACTCTCCATTATCAAGAATAATATTAAGAAATGGCTAGAAGTATCACCACTGGCTCTTTTCAGGGCTCATCATAAGTATTAACGTTTTCTAATTAACCATCAATTTCTTCAGTTCTTTTCAGGGCCATCTAACGTTAAACTACCTTGCCAACAAATACATCTTTACTACCATATTCGGTAACGATTCATCCATTGTAAGACTGTATGAAGCCAACTTCTATTAAATCTCGTCAGTCATTCACTGGCAGATGTCACGAGTGGAGTGGTTTGTCGCAAGGCTGGGAACCCGACCACTGACAACCTGCATTACTCTCTTGACTCGAAGCATTCAACCAAGAATCACCGATCCTCTCTGAAGTCTGCGCTGGGAAAATCTAACAGCAATGAGAGAAAAAAAACTTGAACAATCGGGACAGTCTCCAACGGGTAAATATCATGAATGAATCTCTTCAACTAAGATCATCAAAACGAGTGAACTCTGCAAAAAAGAAGGTACCTTGGACACTAACGTCTCCAGCATAATATCAGGAGACATTGCGAGAGAGCTCTACAACTAGCTCTAACGTTCAAGATGTTATAGTTTTCTTTTTCAATCAGCTAGGTGATAAAAAAGCAGGCCAGGGAAGATCACCCAGATGTATCCAGACAGCTACGTTTACTGGAAACCAGCCAAAAAATAGTTTAGCTCGCCGGCTCTTTTGAGGGCCATCGGATGTCAAACTACCTTGCCAATAAATACATTACAACTTAAAAAAATTGAGTAAAACAGCCTTAGGGGATTACAAAAGTCTTAACCATGTCTATAATTGCAAGAAAAAAAAAACTCCAAATGGTTTAAGTGTTAACAATTTGAGGCATCAAGAAACTGTCGCACAACATTTATTGAGATTGAAACAGCAGCGTCAAAATTGATAAATGAAGAATCCATTAGGTGAGATACCAGCATTTTATTACAACCCTGACCGATATCACTTAAATCTTCTAGATTTTTAAATAGGTAGAATAATTTGTGTTTGTATTCATTGTGGCGATAAAAGTAAGAGAGATGAAGCTCCAGAACTTTGTTGCTCTGGTATTAAAATTGTAAAACTGGAAAAAAAAATTTTCTAACCCTATATTTTTGTCATTTATAAATCTTTATAGTTTTAACAAAAAGCCATTTTTATTTGTTAGTGCATGTCAAAGACCTTTAACGGCAAATAACCGTTTTACGGCATAAGGAAAGCTCGGTACTTTTCAGCATAATTATATTTTTCTCATTTCTTACAGCTTACTGTTTGACCAAATAAAGTGCATGGATTCTGAACAGAAATTTTTTGGATAACAAGTATTTTCTTTGAGAAGTATCAGGAATAGATGTAAAATTTTTAACTGAAAACATCCTACTTTACGTGTCAACACACTACGGTGTTCCATTTAGTGAGTCTCGGCCGAAGCCAAGACGGGGGGCCACTAGTAGAAGATGTATTTATATTCATTATTATACTGTCTTTTATATAATTTGATAGAAGTATAACTTCATACTTGGGTACCCAAGCACCTACTATCCACCAGCCTTTCTGTGGCATGTAATCTTAAAATTATAAATATAATTATCATTTCCACACATTTTAAAGAACTAAAAAAAATTTTACACTAAACTATGGTTGCTTCACTGTCAGCCCCGAAATCTAACGATAATGTTTCAACGGAAAATGTTATTACAAACGCACACAATCGAATCTAACCATTAGAATTTAGACGTTTTGTACTCAACACAGGTCATCAAAAATGTTGCAGGAATTTTATTGTAATTTTTTATCCCTATAAGCCAGACCTACACGCTTACAAATTTGTAATTTGCTCAAATAATCGCTCTTAAATACAAACTAAGAGGCTGTAACGCTACAAAAGTATCATGTACATTTTCGAAGCATTCGTTTATCAACTCATAAAGTGGTGGTTCAAAATAAAGCTGTTATGTATATGATTTAAATGCAATGCTAAAATTTAATTTTTGTTTAATGCATTGCAGTCTTGTATTTTTCATGCATTTATAGAAGCCCGTAATTTTCCTTTTTTAAATAGCCAATGATACTAAAAAATTCAGTGTTTGTTCACCTTTGCAAAACGTTCGGTTATCATATTCAACGGACTCGTAAAAGCCCGTTACGCTTCTTTTTCTGCTAAGACCCTGCAACGCTATCCCACACTAATTAGTACCTCCGTTTAATGTTGGATTATCGAGTCAGATAGTAAGTTGTATTAATGGTTATGGTAAGTAATTGGTACAAATGTAAGGATAAGTCAAATTTTTATGGAGATTACGTTTACCTTAGTGATCATGAGATTGTATAAAAACTCGTAATACTCTTATTTTTATTAAATAAATAAGAACGTTATTATTAAAACTTTTCTTGTGCAAATCTAGCAGGGTCAACAAAATTTAAGCCTGTGCTGGTCACAGACAATACAGAAAGAAAAGAAACAA